TTGTTATAACAATCATGCAAAATTTATTAAATTTAAAAACTTTTTCTTTTCTTATTTGCTCATTACATATTTTATGCAATTGCTTACGTTTCTTACTAACGATCAAGCCACAGGCGTGAATAGCGTCGCAGTTATTTTGGGCCCTTATATATAATATTTTTTAAAAATTAGGCCCTTATATGTAATTATTTTTAATTTGGGCCCGTATTTGTAATTATTTTTACTTTCCGGGCCCTTATTTGTAAATTTCCCTAAATTTTTTCCTGATGCTGTAAAAATCTGCTTTCCCAGAATATTGCAATTTTATGCAAGTTATATCATGTAACGTTAAATACCAAATGCTTATAATATTAAATCGATAACCTTAAAAAAATTTAAATAAAAAATTAAGAGAAAATAAAAATTTTAGTCAATTATAATTTAGATTAAACTACAAATTGGCTAGAAGATTCTTTCAGAAAAATTTTTTAATTTATATCATTTTTTGTAAATATATAAAAAAAGGTATTAGTTTACAGTATGTTGACCTGTACTGTATTCTATGTTAAGATAAACTCTCTTTTCATAGAAAAACTTTTCATATCTGACGCTAGATGTACGAACACAGTGTTCTTGCATGGTCTTAAAAATTCCAATGATACCATAAGATTGCACTTTCTCTCAAACTCTCATCATTTGATAGATCTGTTTCGTGTAGTGCTCTGAAATTTTGGAGAAATCATTTGTATTGAGCAATTTATCTACCGATGTAAGTTCACCAGCATTTTTCTCACGAAGGCACGAGGTGAGTTTATTGATATGGAATATAAACAACTTTGAATGTAGTTTACAATGATCGATAGTCCAGGTAAGTGTAGTTGACATCTCTCAATTGAAACATCAGAATGAGGACTAGGTAAGATGCGTGGCATTTGAGCTTAAAGATAAAGTATTCGCTCTGATTAAATGATACTTGTAACTGCTTCCAGTGATCCATGAAAATGGACAGCATCTCAGATACTAGAGGTGGCAAGTTATTCTCTCTACCTTCTAGACCATTGATAAGATCAATGTAGTCTATTCCCCTGAAAATCATCAAATCATCAAAAATAAATGCGAAATAATAGTACAATTGAATGCCAGAGGAATTGTGAGAGTCAGGCATTAGAGACGCGTCAAGTCTTAGGTCACTTAGTTTAAATATCGATATTATACTCGTCAATAATACGTTGAAAAATGGTGTCAAACGTTATTGAGATAATTTAATTTGACATCGACAGATTGGTTGATTCCAAAGAATTCTGAGTCCTAATATTGTTTTTCTTTCTTTCTTGTATCCGCTGGATACGAATATCTTATTTACTTTAACACTTATTATTTCAATATCATTTGAATTGTCTTAATGAGACGATTCGAACAATATAAAATCTTAAGTTTCAATTACTTGGTTTTAAGGTATTTTTAAATATTCAAAAAAGTATCTTTCCTTTGGCATCATACATAGTACGAACATAATGCTCCGATTTGGATTAAAAAACTCGGTTTGACTAAATCCGAAATTTCGGGTTGAATCCAGAGCCAATCCGAAGTATTTAATGGCCAAATATTTTAACATGGTCGACTTGGAATTTATATATTAGTACAATGTGAAAGAAAAAACTAGACCCAAATCTCAAAATTAGGTTTAATCCGAGCAATCTGAAACTTTTGGCCAAACCGATTTTATGGGTTAGGATTGGAATTCATCGGATCCGAATTATTCGGTACACGATACGTACAGTATGTACTAGAGCGGCTATAGCAAAGCGTCCGGCATACATGTTATCTCACCCGGCACCCTCTCCGATCACGCCCATTGCACATAGTATGCGTCACACTTTGCAAATCCTACAATTACCAAAATCGGCAAAATCGGAAGATCCAAGCAATTGCCAAAATTGGCAACCCAATTATCTATTAAAATATTATATTAACAATCTTTGATTATAAATCTTCACTTATAAATATCTTTACAAATTATAGCTTATTAATCATAATAAGTCATTAGTAATAGCTTACAAATTTAGCATTAGTAAACATTAGTTAGTAATCTTTATAACATAGTCTTCTTGAATGTATAAATACAATAGCTTTTGACCTT